TGGCTGTTGTCGCCCTGTTGATGATGTCAGCGACGCGGTTTAATCCGGCGCGGCTTAGTCGAGCACGGTTTTGATGGGTCACGCTTATAGGGAGCATCGTAGAAAGACATTGCAGGGGAACAAACTTGGTGTTGGGGGGAGAAATATGTGAATTCAGGTGCATAGCAGATAACTGCCTTCTACAATCTTCTGACATTTTAGCACATTAGCACAATTTTACATTGATATATGCTTATGACTGAACACAAAGGCATCATTCAAATGAAGAAAGGATAGCTAAGAGGAGTTCATTCAATAAAGCAATACATGGCCTTGTCTGAAATTGCATCAGTTTCAATATGGGGCAAGTGAATGATATAAACCAATTGGATACGGCATCTGTCTCCCCACTGAGATTCCCCACTGAGACTCACAGGGCGGTGATACAACAGCCTCCTTGACATGGAGAAGGAGTAGTTTTACAGCAACTTTCCATTAATTATATTTAATTCTTTTGGAGCATTACTTCAGCAATTGCCATTAATAGTGTTCATATTTTAAGTCCCAGGTTTCTATTTTTTTAGCTGTTGACTTCCATACATAGAAAAACATTACAATGTAATTTCATATTTAGGTTTTATTAGGTTCAGTTGGATTTACTGACAAGGAAGTATCTAGAGAAAGATAACCTCATCCCCCTCAGCAAATCAAGATTGCTTTTATAAAGTACCAAGGAGACTTTGCATGCTCTGCATTCAAAAATATACTTAGGACAGACAGACAGATATAAAATCATACTGGATCAACATAATTCACACACCCACACAGAAGAGTGTGGCAAAAATAGGAACAGAATGCCAATGTGCAACTTATTAAATTAAATGGAAAGAATAGCAGGCAAATAATTTGATGGAAAGTAAGATCACAGTGCCAAAAAAACAAACAACAGACGACTCTCTACTGAAGTGACTCCTTGAACAAATAGGGGCAGGTTGTATCAATATTGCAGCTAGCCAACCCGTTTGCCAGTCAGCCATATGGCTTGTTTTATTTATTTATTACCCACATCCTTGTATGTGACTTATCACCACATGTCTTGGAGTGCACGGTCTAAAAAGAGCCATAAGATCACTACGGTGATTTTGAATGCCTGCAAGCAATCCCTGCCCCAGCCCTCCCCGCATCTCCTGTGGGGTCAGCACTTGAAGGATCCTCTGTCTACTTCGCACAGATTCTACCTGGAGGAAAGGAGCCCAGAAGTAGCAAGAGTTCAAGTCAGAGGTGGGTTCCTACCAGTTCGCACCTATTCGGTAGAACCGGTTCGTCAAATCTACCGAACCGGTTA